TGTTGCAGTTTGAGCACAACACTTTTCATTCTCAGATGTTTACTTTGGAGCTTTTTATGTCTTTGTTCAGAAACAGGACGGTGGATAGAGTCAGAAACTGGGACGAGAGAGAGCGAGAGAGAGGGGGGAATGTGCAAAAGGCCACAGGTCAGATTCGAACCCAGGCAGCCCACTTTGAGGACCATAGCAGCCACACTATCCACTAGGCTACCAGTTCCCCTGAGCAAAACATGTGACCAGCATCGAGGGCAACATAAAATTGAATTCTGGTGCTGAGTGCTGAGGATGATGACGTTTAACCTTCAGCACTGATTGGAAACACACAGAAATCCCTGAAGGAGAACTTTTCTTTTCATAACACTTGAAAGAATGAAAGAAACCTTCTTAGCACTTTTATTTCCGTATCTCTTCCTGAGGTTGAAGCTGCATTGTTGTCCTTGTGATGTAAAGCCGCTACTCTCCCACAGATCTCTTTATTAGGTTGTTAAAGAACTTCTTATTTCTCCCTTTAGCCGTCTGCTTTATTTTATCTTTGAGTAAAGATAACAATTACAGTAACACATAGCCCTTCTTTGACTTTATGTTATTAATTCTGCTCTTTTTAGGAACTATTTTTACTCCTATCGTCTGACTCTATCTGTTTTTAAAGGTAAAATTCCCCATATTTGTTTTGTCTTTTTCCTATTACAGTGACACATGGCCCTGCTCTTCTTTAAGCATCACTTCTAATTCATCTGCTAAATCTCCCGTTAGAAGCAGTTTTTATCTGCTCTACTGTGTGATTTTCTCCTGGTGTGTGTGTACCGCAGAATAAACCAAAGCTCTGTTAAAATGCAAAGCAGCCCCCTGTGCAGCCATGTGGGGGAATAGAGGCCATATTTTAGCCACGCTCGCCGTCAGCAAAATGTTTCTGGAGGAAAGCTAATTCTGCTGCGAGACTTACAGCTCTGCCAGGCTGGCCGACAGCGCTCGATGCTATCAGGATTAAATTAAGGTGAATTAGAGACAAAGAGGCAGAAAGAGGGGGAAAAGGGATGATGTTAGGGCAGGATTTTCCTCCGGCTGGGTGATCACTTCTTTGTCTGAGGCCATTGATCAGAGCAGAATAAACCGGCTGGGATTAAAGTAGACAAGCAGAAAACCTATAGAGACTATATCTGAGCGTGTGTGTGTGTGTGTGTGTGTGTGAATCCATTGCACTGTGAGGATGAATAGGAGCAGCAGCAGCTGCTGCACAGCGGAGTAATGGAGAAAGTTTGCTTTGGTGTTTTCAAATGTTCCACTTCAGTTTAACAGAGTTCCCTCAGCTTTTATTTAAGGAAGACATAAGATGGACTCTGTTCTCTGATTAAAAAAGATCACTGGTTGGTAGTTTATTTTTTTATCAAACTCAACACTTTTGTTTCCTTTAGTGTGATGTCTCACACAGAATTAAGCCTCTAAATATCATAATGTAAAGTTCAGTTTTATAACTTTTTAAAGCCATGTTTACCTGGAGTTTATTATAACTAGTGTTTGAACAATGACCGGCAAGTTATTGAGTAGGAGTTTAAGATAACACATCTGATACAACAAAATGACAAAACAAAACAAGGACTCAAAAAAATATAAAAACAAGCGAAAAACTGTAAAAAAAAAAAAAAAAAAAAGTGACAAAAAAAGGTCAGCCAGATGAAAACAAAGTACAGTTCTTCTTAAACACACTTATCATAATATGCTCTGTTTTCAGCTTCATCCCACAAGAATAACATAAAAAACATAACTTAATCATTCTTTATGATTAAAATGGATATCCATGATTCATATTGTGTTAAAAAATCAAACCTATCAGTGCTTCTATTAAATGTTCATTTATCTACCACATGTATTTCAATGAAGCATTATCTGAGTATGTTTACATCTACATAACTGTATTTTATACATATTTAGGCTGGTAGCTGACATGATTGACAGGTGGGCGCGATGTAATTGTTTGTCAGGAGGTTTAAAACCCGCCTCAGCTCCAGCTCTCAGCCTGTCGTTAGGTTGACTGAAAGTTAGACTGAGACAGCATTTCCAACTGCTGATGAGCCTCCAGAGCCCCCTGCAGGAACAGATGGATGACATCACTCAGGCTTCATTCTTTGATATTTACAGTCTATGGGGATGACATGCAGCAAAGTGCCAAGGCCGGACTCTAAACCCTCGGCTGCTGCCACCAGGACTGTAGCCTAGTCTCTGTACAGGCTGTCTGGCCAGTCAGCCAGATGAATCTTAACCAAAGGGTTTACTTCCTCGCTGTTTCAATGAGAGCAAATTGAAGATTGAAACCATTAAAGGTGCAAATGGAAGCTATGAACCCTTTTCAGTGTCCTTGCCTGTAATTCATCAAATATCTACGAGCCAATTTCCAATATTTATAATAAATAATAATATTTTGCATAATGATAGTCTGGGAACCTTTCAAAGTGGTAAATTGGTTTAGAAAAGTGAACAATTTGGTTTCAATCAAAGGTAAAGGAGGTTTTGGTTCCATGCTGGAATTTGTAACTCTAAATTAAAGTCAGAAAAAGCAGCAAAATGTAAGAGATAACTGCTTCTTTTGATAAGTGCAGTGTACAACAAAGTGCTTTCACCTGATAAACAGTCATCATGTTTTTTTTATACAGCTAAAAAGAGAAACAATAAAACCGGGCTGATGTAATATTTTTAATAGATATGAAGAATAACTTTTGAAATATACACATCATGTTGTATTCTTTTATAATAAAACACGTTTTCTCCCTCTCAGACCTCCCACCATGTCTCTGTGTTAATGAGAGCTAATTAGCCTTTAATTGTTTAGTTGCTGGTTAACGGGATGGAGAGTGCTGTAATATGACGGCTTTTAATTGGTGCCGGATTGAGAGATGCATTCGTGGTCAACTGACGCCGTCCGACGTCTTAGTTCTCTCTCTCTCTCTCTCCCCTCTCTCTCTCTCTCTCTCTCTCCTCTCTCTCTCTCTCTCTCTCTCTCTCTCTCTCTCTCTCTCTCTCTCTCTCTCTGTGTGTGAGCGTGCGTGTGTGCATGTGTGTGTTTCGGGGATGGTATAAGGACTCATCTTTTGTAAAGTAATTCTGACGTTATAATGGGCTTTATCAGCAGTAACACAGCAGCCTTTCTATTGAGCGCTCTCACACACACACACACACACACACACAGATATTACAGACTAATGAAAAAGAGGCCTTTGGGAATAAGAGGTTAGCTTAACGTCAGGTTTAACTGCTCCTCATAACGCTAATCACTGTGATTATTATTCTGCTAGACTGAAGGGTGTCTGTGTGTGTGTCCTCAGCTGTTAAAGGCAGAGCAGCCACACACACACACACACAGATGCACATTTGTGTTATGGAAATGACCCCTGTGCGTATATGAGTGTTGTGTTCTGCATTGCAGCACAGCGAATGGCTAACAACCCCACCAGGAAATTAAAAACCATAAATTCTGCTTAGCGCAGATAGAAGCTCATCACGTGCACTAACACACACGGACATGCATAGGCACACACAGACACACGCACAGACACAATTGTCATCATCCCATTTCCCCCCGTTCCCCAATAAGATCACACAACCCTGAGGAGAGTGAAGGAATGAAGGAGACACCCTGCACATTCTCAGCACATCAGAGTGTAATGTTATAGAACTACTTTAGGAGACTTTTGTGTTTGAACATTATTACATATTGGAGCAGAAACATATCTATCATTGTAGTCTGGATTTGTTTAGATATATATCACAATCATGTTAAACATCTGGTGAAACCAGAGACTCATAAGTCAAACTTAAGACTGGAGTTCTTTCAAATCCTGGGTCATATGTTTAGAAAACGCATTCTTTTGTAAATATGTAGCTGTGACGCCTATAACGTTGAGAACGGGTTCTGCTATCAAAATTTAAAACACTGTAGAGAGCTGTCTCCCCCGGCCCCCTCCTCTCTAAAGTCGATGCTCACTCAGGTTGCCATGTCACAGAAACTGAAGCTTCAGTGTTTAGCCAGCTCTGCATCAGTCTGTAAACCTTTCTGTGACCTCCTGGTTGAGACACACACTTATAGTCTTGCACAAAATCACAAAGCGATGGATAACAAAGATAAACAAAACCAACAAACCATAAGACATATTTTTGTAGGCCAACCCAGAAGTATCATCACCATGGAGTCTAACTAGAATTCTCCTATGGGATTTTTTCATTGGATTTTGGAAAATAAGCTCTGTGGCAAACGCACGTTTCTGAAGCGTAGGCGTTTTGTTCAGCAGGATAAGTTTCACAGATGAACACCATTTTTATGATGTTTGAAGAGTTAATGCAGCCGACAGAAGTAAAAAGCTAATGTTATGCTACAAGATTGTGACGTCACTAGCGTTGTGCTTCAGACGAAGCTAATCCACGTAGTTTAAGAAATAGTTTACTAACATAATATTCACCTTAACCTAAAGATTAAACCTACAGGAGACATCTCCGACTAGTGAGAGAGTTCCCGCCCTCTGTGTCCGGCGTGATGACCTTTAATGTCCCCGACAACCACTGTAGTCACATTTAGCCACTTGTTAGCAACCGCCTTTTTAAAGACGTGTAAAAACTTCAAACTTCACAAGTGAGGGTATTACCTAACGTAGTTTATGTGGTCTAACAAAACACCAACATCTCTTCAGCTTGTGTTAACCACAGACCTTATTTCAGGAGTCTAACCACAAACACATTCAAAATCCACACTGACTTTTAGACGTTAGACCCCATGCCGCTCAAATGCTAACTTACTTCTGGGTTTTAAGACTCATTCCTGTGGCGCTCTATAGAGGCGATGAAGGAGTTTTTGTGTTTGTCTAAAAAAAGTTAAAAATGGGAACAGAAACACTGCTTCAAATGTGCACAGAAAGAATCTGTCAGAATCATTTTTTTGTACGTTTCTGCTTGTTAAAATGTAATAAATGTTTTCTAAACTGAAGACAGAAGATCATTGAAATCCTCTACCTCAGATAAAGGCGTCTGCAGGCGGAGAGGAGGACGAGGACGAGGACGAGGACGATGATGATGATGATGACGATTTCGATGAGGTTCCAGAGAAAGAAGGATACGAGCCGCACATTCCTGAGCATCTCCGAGCCGCATACGGTGAGTCACAGACACACACGCACACACACACACACACACACATAACCAGCACCTTAAACCTCCCGACACGTGCATAAATAAGGAAGTTAAGCTACAAAAGAGGACCTGCTGCTGCCCTAATCTTTTAAGATTCCCACACACACTCCACAAACAAACACACACACTTCAAAGAAACAGCTGCTGGAGAGTAGGGACCAGGTGACGTTTATTCTGCAGACTTCAGGTTGCAGGCTCATCAGAATCCAGGTGTTTAATTATACAACCTCTATTCTTTTATTGAAAGCTTTAGACCTCCAGTCATGTGTTTCACTAAACGTTACCGGGAGTAAAAGAGGAAGAGCAAAAACAGAAACTTGAAATACATCGTGTTTCAGGTTACAAGACAACAAACTCTCAAATTGCATATTTGTTCAATGAAGACACTATGAAGGAGTTTTCCTGCAATGTGTCTGGTTATTCAAAACAAGAAGTTACCAAACATTATGTCTTGTTTTTGTTGTTATTGCCCTGGTTTGAAACAGACATAAATATTGTTAAATTCATACTCATATCATATCTTATCTTAAAATCTAAGCCTGTCTAAACTGAGTTTTTACCTAAATATGAACTATATAGTTACTAGATAGATTTATTTTATAGATCTTTATGTTTCTCAGGTTGAGATCATATACATTATTGGATTTGCTAATTCCGTTTATATTTGCATTTTGTATTTTACAAGAGTATCTGTTTGATATGATGCACTGTGCCTTTAAGGTTACCCATGGTTACGGTTGGAGGTGTGATATTGCTTTAAGACAAGTTAGGTGTGGCTGTTGTTGGTGTTCAGTCTGTGTATGTCCTTGTGCTTTGTTAAGGACAGACATTAAAGTATACAGCAGAAGTTGTCCCCACACCTGAAGATATCTTTATTTAAGTTTGTTTAGTGTTTTAGTTAACTTCAAGACAACCGAGGATTAAATCAACATCATACAAGAAGCGCCGTTACATCAGCAAGGGCTGAAAAATAATCCTGAAATAGAAAATGTACAGTACAACGTTCGTCTCTTTTCCTTTTTTTCTACAGCTTTTACTATTTTCCACATTCTTTGTTAACTATGAAAATAAAACAAGTGGACTGTTGTTAAACCATTTAATAACTTGAGCTAAATACAGAAAGCTTTTATAAAAAACTGAACCACGTGTCAGGCTTTGTTCTGAGAGAAAAACAAATAAAGTAGAACGAAGAAATCACAGTACTTGATTTGCTTTTCTTTTGTGAGCCTTTTGATTCTGATCTACAAAGCCTTACTACTGTTTCAAATAAAATAAGAAGACAATAGTTTCTCACTGTAATTAGTTATTGTGTATTTACACGATTTTTGAAAAGGTCAAAATACAAAAAGTTCACCACAAAATGGTTTTAGATATTTAAAAAACAAAGCCTGTGGCTTTTTGGACACCTCTGGTTTAGACATGGAACAGTGGATAGAGTCAGAAATCAGGAAGAGAGAGAGAGAGAGAGAGAGAGAGAGAGAGATGGGAATGGCATTTAGAGCGGCTGTGGCTCAGTTGGTAGAGTCGTAGTGTTTCAACTGGAAAGTCAGGGGTTTGATCCCCAGCTCCTACAGCAATATGTCCCATGTGTCCTTTTGCAAGACACTTAAACCTAAATTGCTCCTGTTGCCTTGTCAGCGGTGTATGAATGGATGAGTTGATACTGATGGACTCTTTACACAGCAGCCTCTACCATCAGTGTGTGAATGTGTAGGTGTGACCTGCAATGTAAAAGAACTTTGAGTAATCAGAAGACTAAAAAATAAATATACAAGCTCAAGTCCATTTATCACTTACAAACGGAAGAGGAGCAACAGGTGGACTGGAACCCAGAGGACCATAGCCTCCGTACATGGGGGCGCTCAAACTAACCCCCAAAACATTTCTTCGTATGGTGTTCCAAACATAATAAGGAACACAACACAAAGGTTTTAAGTTCTTAGTTTATTGAAAATTAAACATAAAGTACCTGAAAAACCAGGAAACAAACCACTGAGGTGTTGCTGCTGTGAAGTTGGGACAGAGAGTGGTCAATCAGGAGGCCTTGCCTAATGGTCTACAGGTGAAATCAACAGGAGTCAGCAGAGGGAGCACCAAACAAACAGGAAACAACAGTGATGTAACAGAGGCACTATTAGCCACCGAATGCTAGCTGTGCTTTCATTTGGATACATGTTTGTTATATTTGAATGCAGAGTGATTGTGGAATTCCCAGGAATAAAAAAACCTCATTGAGGCCGATCAGCTCACACAGAAGAGTTAGTCTGCTCTCACACACTTCCTTCTGACTGTTAAACACATGTTCTGTCTGATTCAGAAATGCAGCACAGCCTTGTAATGGAGACAGATAGTTCCTTTTTTCACAGGAGTTTCCCCCTGTATATCTGTGATGGATATTTCCCTGTCAACACATCCACTCTGCCTTCACACACACACAATCATGGTAGCTACATGTGGACTGCTGTTAACGCTCCTTCTCTGAGCTCGTATGGATCATGTGGTGCCTGCAGGCAGCGCGAGAGGTCAGGGGTCAAATGTTCAGGTCATTAAACCACAGCCAGCTCATCTAAACAACATTATGTTTTTTACAATAAATATTAGATTTGAATGTTCTACTGATCAGCAGCTCGGGGCAGCAGTAAAGCTCTCATGCTGCTGCTCCGTCAGCCCACTTCTCACCATTACTCATACCTGAACATGTTTCTGTTATTGCAGCGTCAGCCATGTTTTTTTGTGTCTGTGAGGTGTCGTTCAGCCCCTCCTCGAGAGTCCACCCGACGACGAGCCCCCTAAGTGGATGTGTGTGTGTGTGTGTGTGTGTGTGTGTGTGTGTTGTGTGTGTGTGTGTGTGTCTGTGTGTGTGTGTGTGTCTGGGTGTGTGTGTCTGGGTGATTAGTGGGCTAGGTAATGATCTACAGTGGCCATACCAAATTAACAATGCAACCTCTTTAATGAGGCCCTATTAGCCCTGCACCCACATTTTACCACACACACACACACACACACACACACACACACACACACACACACACATGTTAAACCTTGGTGGCAGGTGGATGCCTGGCTGGTCATCGTGTTTTGTTCTCTGTTGACTCTTGTCATAAGTTGCACATGCTCATTTATTCCTCTTTCCATCTCACTTTTAAGAGGGCAGGAAAAATGCAACTCATGAACGCTTTACACATGTCCATCCAAAAGGAGGCAGCAGAGGGACTCATGAACTGAGACATAAAGAGCGAGTCATGCAGCCTCACTGGATCAGAGCGTAGACTGTTTATGAGTTGACTAGCATGAGTTATCAGTTTGTAAAGTTTGTCTATACAGAGTTTAGGACACATATGTCTGTAAGTGTGAGTGTGCATGGTGTTGTTTGTTGAGTATGTTAAGAAAAAATAGATTGTATTCTAAAATAGAAATGACTGTGATGCTTATTCTGTTAGGCATTTTATTTTTAATTTTTGGGCTTTTTGTACCTTTATTGTAGAGATAGGACAGTGGATAGAGTCTGAAATCAGGAGCGAGAGAGAGAGAGAGGGGAATGACATGCAGGAAAGGAGCCAATGGGCCGGATTTGAACCTGACCGCTTAGAGGACCATAGCCTCCATACTCAGGGCACGCGCACTAACCACTGTGTCACCAGCGCCTTGTTAAAGGGTTTTTTTTAGTATGTGTTAGTATCAAGTTAATCTGTGAGAAAATGTGCTCCATCCCTGGAGTAGAATGCACCAACTTTCCTTACTTCTGTTGAAAACTTGAGGCAGCATCAGTAAAACTTTCTGTATTTTAACCCTGAAGGGATCACCATGTGTCGACACAACTTTACAGAAAGGATCCTTACAGAGATAGACCTCTTTGTCTTTCTGTTTGAATTTATACATTTTATGCAGACTTGTCCAAGCCGTTGATAACAACAAGCTAATCTATATTCATCTTATATTATTTTATTTATCTTAGCACTCGTACCAGAGGAATCTATTTCAACAGGTCTGAAACAGACTGAGTCTTTTAGATTTGGTCTTTGTTGTAGACCTCTGACACTTTCTCTGTTCTTTTATGTCTTCTTCTGAGTCTCTCCATCACAGACACATTCATCATCTACATTTCCTCTTTCTTTTTTTCCACGTTTCCCCTCTCCCTCCCTTCTCTCTCTCTTTCTCTCTCTCTTTCTCTCTCTCTCTCTCCCTCCCTTCTCTCTCTCTTTCTCTCTCTCTCTCTTCCTCCCTCCTCTCTCTCTCTCTCTGTTCTGTTGTTCTGATTATCAGTCCTCTTATCCCCCTCTCTGCTGTCAGGACACTATCTCTCTCTTTCTCAAATTAACATTTTAATTACAGGCCCTGCTTAACCCCAGAAAATCAATACCTCTTTCCGCCTGTTCCTCCCCTGTCTCTCTGCCTCTCTTCCCCTCAAACCCCCCCGATTTCCCCTCTCTTTTTCTCTAACATCCACCGCCCCACCGCCCCACACACACACACACACACACGCACACGCACACGCACACACACACACACACACAACTGTGCACATTTCCTCCCATTGATCTGAGTGTCTTAACTAGGACCTGACCAATATGGGATTTTTTGGGCCGATACCGATATCCCTAATGGGGGAAAAAAACGATACCAATATATCGGCTGATCATTTTCTTAGAGTGATGAAATAGATGGATATACATTAAACATCTATGTGAATGACGTTGATCCTTCAAATCCAGTTATCAAAACCTTGTGGATATGCACGTGCATCACCGCTCAACACTTTGGAGAGTGATGATGTTGTTGTTATCCATACAGCGCCCTCTGCTGGTGACAGAGAACTGCCCGTGTAATGCTGTTTGACAGGTGAAGATATCAAGTCATATCGGCACATATCTTCAATAAAATTGGCCAATACGGATAGTCACTGGATAAGCTAATATCGGTGGAACTGTTCTAATATATGAACAAAAAAGTGCAGGTAAATGTTTTAAAATTATATTTTATAAAGAACTTAATAAATTGATAATTTAGCTCCTAATGTCTCTACACAAGAAGACCATAATATTATTTTTTAGAAGGTCTGAGCTCCAGGTTCTTCATTTGATGACAGATTGAATTAGTGATATGCTGTATAATCTAAACAGTTTTGTTCTATAAAATATATGAAAAGTGGTTCAAAATCGAATCACTGGATGTTACAAGCCAAACCATTAAATGTTCAGAGACGGAGCAGGTCGTCCAGCATTTGAACGGTCAGCAGGTTATCCAGAATTTGAGATGAAGAACTTTTGTAGAAACACAAAAAAGTTCCTGTGACTAAAAGTTTTCTGCTGAAACGCTCCTGAAGAGGTTCATGTTTCTGTCATCTTTTTGTCTTTTTTTTTTTTTACGTCTCTATGACAGGTGACCGTGATGGGGAAAGGTTTTGTAAGCAAATTTACCATTAAAAAAAATCTGCAAAAAGTTCTTCTCTGTCAGTCAGAGCGGGAGAGTTCAAGACTGTTCAGAGAGGATGGTTTGTGCAACGCTGCGTGGACGGCATGAGTCTCTAATAATGAGAGGGATCAGCATGTCGGCTTACTGCTCCCCTCTGATCTCACCTGCAGTGTGTGTGTGTGTTAAGTCCTGCTTAGACACACACACACACACACACACACACACACACACACACACACACACACACACACACACACACACACATGCAGAGGGTTTTAAGTGTGGTTCTGCAGGGGATGTGACTGTTTTTTGCAGCTGGTTATGCTCTTTTCTTACATTGTTTGTTGAAAATGTTTAGTTTTTTATAAATGTGAGGAAAGGTAAACACTGCCTCTACATGCATTAACATTATTTGACAACAGGTCAATATTTATTCAGTTTTTGATCAGACATGGTTGTTGCACATGCTCAGTCACTTCAGATAAAAAACCAACAAGAAGCTTAAAGGTAGATCTTCTCTTCTTGTTTATGTGTTTGCAGGTTTGGATCCTTCTCCTTCCACTTCCACCGCAGCCTTCACTAAGAAACCCCCACCTAAACGACCTGCCCCCCCACCAACTCCTCTGCCCTCCTCCTCCCGGCGACTAAAGCGTCTCACAGAGGAGGAGCAGGATCCGACATGTGCAGCCGCCACACTGCGTCACCTCAGACAGAACCTCCCCCTTCCACCTGCAGAACCCAGGTACACCTGCTGACCAGCTCTTTACCTTCTCCCCTCCTCCTCCTCCCCCTCCTTCAACTCGTCTTACCTTATTTTGGGCCCACTTCTTCAGCTTCAGAGAGCTTCTCACCAGTGCAAAAACATGGCACAAAGCACTTCTCTTACAGTACTAGTCGTTTGTTCTGTTTTATAAAGCTCCTTATTCTTAACATTTCACTGAAATACCAGCAAGAAAACATGAAACAAAGTTCATGCCATAGGTCGGGGCCCTAGGTGGGCAGCCCCAGTCAAAAAGGTCTGTGTTCTCGCCTACTTGTGAAACTAAAGAGGGTGTACAAATTTCAAAGTATTTTGTGCCTTCCTCTTGGAGTGGTGGGGAATTGCGTTGGGGTCAAGGAGCAAGGGTGGCCTGAGCACTACTACATTTAAAAAATAAAAAATGAAGGCGATCAAATATATTTCTCATTTTCCTGACTTGATCTAATAAAATACTAATGGGAAAAAATGTAATATAGGAAGAAATTAAAAGAGAGTCAGTCACGCTGGTATTGTTTTTTTATTTTAAGAAGTAGGCTAAATAAAATCATTTGAATAGAAATCATGATTTGTGTAAATGTTATAAAGATAATTACTCATTTCTTTTGGTGAGGAGATCTAATGGCTTGTTTAGGACTCAAAATTCAAAGGTTTGGACTTTTGACTCTAAATGGGACTTTCCCGTCTTTACTTGGGACTTGACTCAGGACTTGAGACCAAAGACTTGAGACTTACATGTGACTTGTAAAACAACGACCTGGTCCCACCTCTGCCACCACCCAGAATGAAGGGAAGGGGAAACACTGTGGTTAGTTTTAGAAACAGGTCAAACATAACAAAGTCCACATGTACAGGGGCACCGATGGCCCAGTGGTTAGGGCGGGCAACCCATGTACAGAGGTTGTAGTCCTCAAAGAGGGCGGCCCGGGTTCAAATCCGACCTTTGGCTCCTTTCCCTTTTTTATTTGTATCTCGACATCATTGTAAATTAGGGATTATTTTTATTAAATAATTTTTTAATGCGGGTAGGCAGGAAACGATTTCATGACTTCCATTGAGCAGAACAAGTCGTACATTGTGAAACTGTACTCCCTCATTGACAGTGCATGCGGCTGCTTCAAATGACAAGCAACCATTTTATTTTAGCAGCTGTAAGAGCAGCTAACAAACTGTGTCATTAAGCAGTAACATACAGTGAGGGAGGGACCGTTTTCTCCAACATACAGGACAACGCGCTTCAGATATTCCCCAGAAACCTCTCCACATCCTGGACATTACCAGACCATATGAATGAAAGTCCCATTGTCTGGACAGAAGTTACAATATGGATTAAATCTTCAGGGAGTGAAATATGACCTGTGAACAAACTTGTAATGAATCATTTGATGGTTTGAATTCCTAGAAGACTGAGATATGTTTAGACAGATAGAGGGCCAGTTCAGATCTGGAGAGAAGTGAATGTACTTTTTCCACAGGTTGGTTTATAGGAGGCCTCTGTTAAATATTTATAGAAGTTTGAGACAATGCCACTGATTTTACCTCTTGTGCCTAATATTCATAAAAGAGGGTGATTTTTAGGATCTGTGCCTGCAAGGTTATGGGAACCTTGTAAGTCTTGGAATTCACGGAGACCTTGTTGAGCCATGATGTCTTGGAGCTTATGAACACCTTTATCTTCCCATTGAGGGAAAGACATTGTTTTAGTGTTTATTGAAAGAGAAGGATTAGTGAAAATGGATAAAATGTGGCTGATGTTTGTTAGAGGTCTTTGCTAGTTGCTGGACTTTGCTCAATGCAGTGAAAACATGAGATGATTGGTCCAAAATCCCTTCTCTCTGTCTTATGGGGTTTGTTGGAGTACATCAGATTCACTAGATTATATGGATAAATGCTCTTCAATGGGACGCCATGACACTTGAGACTCTGCAGCTGATTTATGACTCTGCAATGTATAACCTTTGATCCTAGGCTTTTTCTTATTTCATAAATACACACTGATGGTGGAATGTAACTTCCTCCAAAAAGCCAGCTGGGGGGAGCTAGAGGAATCATTGAGCTAATCAAACTGATGCGAGCAAAATTAATCTTCTTTAAAAAAAAAAAAAAAAAGCACAGGCCAAAAGAAGCTCAAACACATTCAGCCTTCCTGATGTTTAAAACGTTCCAACGAGCACTGCAACTTAAGAAATGAAGCCTTTTAGTCCGCAGCAATCACAGACAAATAAAGAAGGATGTTCCATTATGAATCATTTGAATTTTAAATCTTTGTAGAAAAATCTAGTAAATATGTTGTATTTTAGTCCTTCAAATGATTTTCATAAGCTTCTTTTGGACAATTTAAGTTCATATCTTTTCCCTGAAGAAGACTTTATAGAAATGAAATAAGTGAAACATGAGGATCACATGCAGAGAAGCTTTATTTGATAACACAAGTGGCCTGGGTCTTATACTGTAGTCGACTGCAGAATATTAGTTTGAACATTAAACATCTTGTTTCTCCTCCAGCAGCTCCTCTGTCTCCAGTCCATCCCAAACCGGTTCAGGCCAGGCTGCGGATGCTCCTGTGGTCCCCTTCGGTTTGGACCTGTATTACTGGGGCGAGGAGCAGCCGAACGCCGGCAAGATCGTCAAGTAAACACAGAGCCAGACACACACACAGCAGCACAGGTCATCGAGTTGTGTAGAAGAAAACTGAGCTTTAATAAGCTGATGTCTGAATGAATGTCACTGCCATGTTGAAGTATTTCATGCATGTGAAAGAAATGTAATACCTCCCCTCAAAGCTCTCATAGAATAATGAAGTCAACATCTGGAAATCACATTTCATGCTCTCCTTCGTCCTGCGCTGTCAGAAGTTTTAAACATTTTGCTTCTCAGTGGCTTTCCACTCAGATAAATCCTGTTTTTGGTACAGTTTGTTTTGTTTTATGAATAACTTTCTACATTTATTATAAGAGAACATAAATAAACACTTGTACACTCTTTAGATGTGGCTTTCTGCTCGCTGTGTGTAACCTCTTGGCGGTGTTTCCCTCTCGGGGCAGGTCGACCTCTCAGCATCAATTCTGGGTTCATGCCGAGGTGAACGAGGAGGTGCAGAACGAGGAGCTGTTGGCAGAGAGCAAGAGCAGGTACATCTCCTTCCCCGGGAGCTTCACTCCCGTCAGCCATCACTGCAGAGCTCCGCTGGGTGAGGGGAGGCTGTGTCAGCGACAGGACCGCCGAAAGGTAACTCACAAAACAGAGATCTGACTGTGTGTGTGTGTGTGTGTGTGTGTGTGTGTGTGTGATTAAACTGCACATGTGTCCTACAGTGTCCTTTCCATGGCCCCATCGTTCCTCGAGACCAGGACGGGAGACCCTGCAGGAAGGAGGACCGGCTGAGGGAAGAGAAGGAGGAGAGGAAGAAGAGGGAGGAGCAGCCAGGTCAGGAATCGAACACACAAATATACACAACAACAATCATCTTCAGTCACTTTGAAAAACATTGAATCTCTCTGTGAGAGTGTGTTTAACATCTGTCAGCTGTTCTGACTCAGTGTACACTGTAGGACCAACGACGCACCATCAGGTGGAAACTAGGCCCAACTTTTAAATGAGTTGTACAGCTCAAATACCAGCCTGAAATCATGAAGTCTAAGTGTGGGTTTAGAGGGGGGTCCTTCTCTGAAAACAAAAGTCAGAATCATGATTAGGCTTTCATGTTTACCTCCCTCAGATCATCACCTCCACTTGCCTGATGAACATCAGGTTAACATTTCATGTTTCCACTTCTTATTGACAATCTTCAGAATGAGACACCTATCTTATCTTGTCTCCTTTTTCTTTTCTTTTTCTTTACTTGTTTGCAAAAGATTTAACTTCATAGTTATTTGCTGTTGTGTCATTTTTCTCTTGACATTATGGAACAGTCTGGAGTGGGAGAGTTTGTTCCACTGGTCTGGACTCTTTGCACTCCTTCCTGGCAGGTCTTCCTGCATGCACAATCAAACCCCTGCAGAACTGTTCATCTCCCTCCACTGGCTCCCATTTACTGCTAACATCACATTTCACACCGCTGTCGGTCACCACTCGTATTATAGGTAGTCTACTAATGGAGAATAATGTCTGATAAAAAGTTTAAAATGGCAGCTCTCAGCTCTTGGTCTTTTAGTGGAAAAAGAAAAGAAGAGGCTGAGGAGACAAATAAGGAGAAACCGCACTAATGGGTGAAAGCATGGACACTACAGCGGCATGCTCAAGGGGCTTTACAGAACCTGAGAGGAGAGCTGGAGAGAAATGAAACCTCTGAACAGCCAATCAGAGAGATTCATCTCTTTAGTTAGCTCGTAGCTTCACATTGCATGTAAACTGACACAGAATGAGCGTGATCTAAAAACTCTCAAGACGTTTTCACATATGCACTCCGGTTAATATCTAGATATTTACAGGAGGACTTCTCCGGAGATTCTCCCGAACTAGCCTTTCACATATGCTCCTCACAGCAGGGGACTATCCCTGTCAGAGGGGGAGGGGGGGGGGTACTATCCCTGTCAGAGGGGAGGGGGCTCGGGGGATTTCCAGAGGTAAGACGTGACGTAAATAAACAACGTGGAAGTAGCGGCCGAAGCAACAGAGTCCGCTACACGATGTTATTATGAGAATATTTGTCTTTATATCAATGCTATGTGTAATCCAATGGAATGACAACATCCACAAAACAGAGGAGAACAACATACTGACAAACAGAAAACATAATGCAGCCGGTTAATTACATGCACGGAGATCGTAGAGGTCGCGTGCAGACACTTTAGCCGGTCACTGTATAAACGTCATTCTCTTTTCATTGGCTGAAATTGAAATCTCCAGAGTATATGCTGCCACGTTCACACAACAGCTCACGGATATTCTGCGGAAAAAATACTAGGGGTCTGGAGGAGAAACTCCGGGTAAAGACCGCGCATAAAATGTGTCTGTTTGCGTTCACACATAGCCTAAAGTTCCTCCGGGTAGCCAAATCTCTGGAGTTTTTCAGGAGATTTCCGTATGTGTGAAAAGGGTTTTACTAACATCCAAATAATCAGTGAGTATGTTCTTCTTCTCTCTAGTTCTTGACTAAAACAGCTTTTATACACAAGGGGAGGAGCCGGCCGTCCCGTCCATGTAAACACAGCTCTGACAACAACACAGCCAGCAGGACTCGAGCTTCTCACTCATTGTAGACTGTCATGACTCAGAGACACATTTACACAGGAGAGACTTTATGATTTATTTATGTGTCAAATGTTGCACATTCCTCCTTTAAGAAAAAGCTTAAGACCCATCTCTTTCATGAACATCTGCACACTTAATGATAGTGATGATGATGATGTTATTGAGAATTGTTTTGATGATGATTAGAGTTGTCATGAGAAGCTGTCCATGTTGTTAATGATGACAGTAAAGTGCTCTGCCTCTGGTCACTTCCTGCCAGCAACCCTGTGTCCGATTGGACTAAAAGCTTTTTGTTTGCTCTTCCTGAGGATGTTTCCTCCTCTCTTCATCCTTTCTTCTGTTGTTGTAACTCTCTGATTTTCACATTATCATCGTCTGATAGGCTGTGTGACAGAGGCTTGTGTGTGTGTGTGTGTGTGTGTGTGTGTGTGTGTGTGTGTGTGTGTGTGTGTGTGTGTGTGTGTGTGTGTGTGTGTGTGTGTGTGTGTGTGTGTGTGTGTGTGTGTGTGTGTGTGTGTGGCCATGACATGCAGTCCAGTGAGTTGTGAAATAGCATCTTTTGTTACCAACTACACTATCGATCCACGAATCAATCTCACACCTTCACACGCACACACACACACACACACACATCAATCTCATAGTTGGTGGGGGGGTGGAGGTCTGAATAAGTTGATGAACCGTTGACCTCAGCTCTTTCTACCTACTGAGACACACATGTGCTCTGAGGTTAAACGGGCACAGTTTAAAAAGCACAGCACAGATTTTTTAAGTTAACAGAATTTGACCTGCAGAGTTGGCGAGTGAGAAGTCGTGAGTGTCTGCTGCTGGAGTCACTCTGGACATTTGATGTACATCATACATGGAAATGTAAATGTACAGTTGTTCCTGGTCAGACAGCCCGTCCCCTGAACCCCACTGGGTTGGATTCTGGGGTGTGAGGCCAGACTGAAACTCTAGAGTCAAACTGAAGTTTAATTTCTCATCGATGGACTAACACACCCAGAGAATGCCGTTGTGGGTGGATTTACTCTTGCACCTCAGTCGGACCCGGTTCCCGCTATGGGGGTTTGACCCGGAAGTTGACATGTTGAGTCCGAGAACAAGAACTATGTATTTTTTTACCAGACGAGGGGACACAGGTTATGTCGTGTCGTAGGAATTAAATGTATGAAGCTCAGTAGTCATTTCATTGACCATAAATGTTAGTCAAAGACTGATTTTTCCATGACTAAAGAGAGACAATGACGAGCTAAAAATAGCTACCTTGGTACACATATCTGATGCTAAGCTAATTGAATGAGTCTAAAGACAGAAAACGTTTTGACTCAATGTAGTGACGTTTTCTTGACTAAACTGGAGCAGAATGTTTTGAGTTTTAACTTAGAGGGGGAATGACTCAAATGTGACTAAGATGATACGAAACGTTTTCATCCAGAGACTGAAACTAAATCTGCTTGAATTAAACCAGATGTGAAGCTGGTCATTGTTTCACCAGTTTGCACCTTGCTAACGAGTTGGTCGATGTTAAGGTTCAACTGGGAGAAGATCCAGAAGAAGTGTTGAAAGCATCTCACCACCTACTGTAGCAGAGTCAGACATACTTCAATAAAGAATTCCCCCCTAGACGCTTGTTTACTGGGACAAGGACATTTGTCTGATGAAACGTCCTGATCAAGCTGTAAGTGTAGCTCGACTTAGCTGTGAATGTAAACGTGTTGAGTGGTGCAGCATGAAGATCCTGATGAAGCTGCTCGCTGACAGATGAAGAGAAACAGGTGGAGACATCTTTTAGAGGAGACGCATGGATGTCTGACCGCTGACCACTGACAGCCACATGACCTTTAGTTTATACCATTAATAACAATGAAGTGGCTTCAGGTCTGACAGCATACATCAATGTATTACATAATGTCTGTTTGGTATTTGAAACACTTTAACACAGATGAGAAGTGATACAAGTTATGGTTTTAGTAACTGAATGATTATTTAACTGGCATGTTTTACAAATGAATTAATATTGATATTTTGTCACTGCATCAGAGCTCTGTGAAGTCTAAAGCAAATTTCTTATCTTTTCTTATCTCTTACTAAGAACGGTGCGTTGACATTCGGGCGAGAATCTGAAGCCAAACATCTATTTGACTCTAAATGGGACCATGATTTACTAAATAAACACCCTGCTGTTTTAAAGATGACTAGATTGAAAACTCGTTCAGAAAGTGTTTACTGAGGATAAAACATCAACTGAGAAGTCAGAACATTTTCTCATATTACTATACCTGGCCTCTTTTTGCAACCAGAGGGGTCGGACCCCTGCTGGCCATTAAAGAGCTGGGCTCAGGCTACGTGTACCTCCAACATACAGCCTATGTTTGGCTTGTAAATCCACAAAGTGGACGAGCAGAATCTTTATTGGTAGAGAATACTCTGATCTCTTGTTGTTTTTGTTGTTCAGCTTCACTACGGTCTAATCTTCACCAGCTTTTAAAGTCTCCAACGGTCGCTGCATGACTGAACATCAAACCTTCAAACATGAGAGAGAGAGAGAGAGCAGCTGACTGACACACATAAACACACACACACATACACACACACACACACACACACACACACACACACACACACACACACACACACACACACACACACACACACACACATACACACATACACACACACACACACACACACACACACACACACACACACACACACACACACACACAGACCCCAGCTGGACGGGCTAAGAGGTGTTGACAGAGGAAAGAGCCCTGCTGCAACACTGATTAAATTCACTTACTCTCCCTCTTCTTCTTCCCCTCTTACTTTCCTTTCCTCTTCTTCTTTTTCTTCTTACATTTTTTTCATTTTCTTTCATGTCGTATTCTTCTTATTTTTTTAACTTTTTTGTTTTTCTCAAACTCCTCTCAAATCACAACAACAAAGTGAGGGAGGTCAGAACAAACACAATGTAAATGCAGCTGCTCCTCTTTTAGCAGTAATGATTCTCCTAAACACCAGCTGCTTTTCAATTACTGCCCTGTGTGTCTGTGTGTGTGAGTGTGTGTGTGTGTGTGTGTGTGTGTGTGTGTGTGTGTGTGTGTGTGTGTGTGTGTGTGTGTGTGTGTGTGTGTGTGTGTGTGTGTGTGTGTGTGTGTCTGTGTGTGTGTGTGTGTGTGTCTGTGTCTGTGTGTGTGTGTGTGAGTGTGTGTGTGTGTGTGAGTGTCTCTGTGTGTGTGTCTGTTTGTGTGTTTGTGTGTAATGAGGGATATTGAAGGTCCAGTGAGACCCGGGGTCAGCCTGCTGATTAATCACACACACACACAGACGGGGCTGGGGTCAGTGTTTTGACAGAGCGGAGCGCCCGGCTTCAGTCCCGTCACCTCACACTGTAATTACTTTGCATTACTGCAGGTTTATCTCTTAATTCCTTGGCGGTACGTCATTAACTAGAAGTGTCTCTTCGTTTAGACCGTCATTACTCTGCATTACAGCCGCTCTTTACTTTATCACCCAGAATTATGACATTACACTTTTCATTAACACTAGAATTGGATCCAAATGAGGCCGTAGCACTCAGTGTTTTCTGCCAGTGTGAAGCTGTGAGCTCCTTTGTGATATCAGCTGTAATCACTTCATCACACTCTGCATTAGAATGAGTTTAGTGAAGTGTTCATTTGTAACCGTGGCAGTGAGTTGTTTAAGAAAGGGAAGGACCAAATGTACTCAAAGAAGAAGTAAATATGTGTCAACGAGGAATCAAGAGAAAGATCATTGTACTTTTATTTTCTTATTTTTCATTGAGTACACAGATAATACATACAACTTCAGGAGATGCTTTTCACTTACACTTCCATTTTCTCATGAAATCCTAACATGTCATTTTACCAAACAACTACACATCCATATCCATACATGTATACACACACCCTTTCCTTCACACCTAAACTTACATACACTACATGCATATAACCACACATGTGGCAGCCTTCACATCTTTCAATCCTTTTTCCTTGATTGACTAACACCTTCTGCAAACATATAGGTAATTTGCTATACAATAGACAAGTGCATTTAAAGTAAAATAAATAAATAAATTAAATTAAATTTAAAATACAAATATTAAGAGGTGACTCGAGCCCAGACATTACCTGCATCACTGGGGCCCATTATATCAAATCTATTTGATGAAAACATTTTTGAATCTCTTACTCTACTGAGTTATGTTGTGAGGCTGTGGTTACAGCCAGTATGCTGTTATTGTTTTTATACTTTTTTTTAGGTTTACTTTGTAAACTCTTACAAACCAACAGCTTTCAATCAACACTTTGGAACCTCAAGAAGAGGAAAAGGGTCAACATCGTTTTCATGCTCTGCCATTTCTGCCTTTGGGCACTATTTCCTAACCCTAACCCCTATTTCCTAACCTCCTTGTTGTTAAGTATTCAGAGTGTTTAATGTGATGAAGATGTTGTAAAATTAATGAGTAAGCATGTCTGATAAACTTGATCTCTATCTCTCTTTTTTAAATAATTGAGATTATGATTTTTGCCATAATCGAGCAGCCCCATTCACCGTTGCTGCTCCGTCTCCTGGACTGAAAATCTTGTAAATAGTAGCTTCAATTTGTATTTAAAGTTAATGATGATTTATTCATTAACACATGGTATTGGTAAACCTTAGCAGTATGAGAAATATGCTGTCAGGATGAAGGTTAAAGGTCACATATCCTCCTCCTCTTCTTCAGTTTAAATAAGTGTCAGAGCTCCTCAAAACATGTGTGTGAAGTTTCTTGTTCTAAATCCACTCTGATCCTGTATTTGATCATGTCTATAAACCCCTCTATTTCAGCCCTGCTCAGAACAGGCTGTTTCTGTGTCTGTACCTTTAAATATGTAAATGAGCTGTGTTTGACCACGCCCCCTCTCTGGAAGGGCTTGGGTGTCTCGGTCTTTCTCGCTCCATGTCCTATTGTTTAAGGTGAGAAGGCAGACTCAGAGGGCAGAACAAACACCTAGCTGTGGGAGTGTCACCCACCTGGGGGAGGGGCTACTGCCCTTTGTGTGCCCATTTTCTGAAAAGTGGAGCAGGAGACAGACTAGAGACACATGTTAGTGTTAGAGGAACATGAGGAAGTGTATATTAAATAATAAGTGCCCTTTAAAGTGGGCGGCTGTGGCTCAGTTGGTAGGTCGAGGGTTCGATTCCCAGCTGGGCAACATGTCCGATGTGTCCTTGGGCAAGACACTTAACCCCAAATTGCTTTCCCGCGGCTTGGTGGTGGTGTATGAATGGATTAGTTACTTCTGATGGATGTTACTACATAGCGATCATCACTACCATCAGTGTGTGAATGTGTAGGTGTGACATGCGGTGTAAAAGCGCTTTGAGTAGCCGGAAGACTAGAAAAGCGCTACATAAGCTCAAGTCCATTTACCATTTAAAGTAATTAGTAATCTTATCCTCAGCAGAACTGCAGTTTAATATTCATCTGGTGTTGTTGCACTACGCTATGAAAATGTTTCACATTATGTTTTTCTTACAGGAAATAAAAGCATGGAAATTCTTTAACTTCATTGTTGAAACATTTTTCTTCTTTGTGTTGCAGACTGGCGTGATGCGGAGCTTATGAGAGACATCGAGGCGGCGACAGGAGAAAACCTGGGCTCTGACCGAGTCGGTAAAAAAGGAAAAGGGAAGAAGAAGAAATACCCGAACCTCAGTGATCTGAAGCAGAACGCCAACACGGCTCGCTCCAGGCTGGAGAGGAAAGTCTTCAACAAGTATGTCACTTCCTGCTCTTTAACAAAGTTTAATAACCCGCAACATATCCTGAACATGAATCCTACATTTCCCATGATACAACTCAGTGGTTTATATTCAGAAGAACCTTCAGTGAAGCTTCAGTGTTTAGCCAGCTCTGCATCGGTCTGTAAATCGGTCTCTGGTCCAAACAAATCCAGAGCATTCAGGAGCAGAATCTAAAGTTAGAAGGAGGACATACTGGCTGCTGCATTGTTGTCAGAGAAGCCAGCACTTCAACATAGCATGTTTCCTTAATGTCTGATCAGATAGTAAGATACCTTTATCATTTACCTCACTACACATCTCACTGATTGGACCTTAAGACAAAGTTGTTGATACTTCTAACCACATGTTTCTCTGAGGGATGATTTTTACATCCTCATGTTTAAGAAAACATGTCATAATTCATGTTTCATTCATATTTGATGAATATAATTTTAAGGACACAGATAAGTAAATATTTAAACAGCAAAAGACTTAAAAAGTTGAATCTGAAGATCTGATATGTATGTCAAAAAAAGTATATCAGAAAACTAAGTCAGACCTCTGCTGCAAGTCTGTGAACAAAAAACTAGTAAGAGAGAGCTTATTACTCCTGTTATATTTATTTAAGAAGGTTTTATAAGGGCTTTGGCTGTTAGGGAAGTGAAAAGTGATATATAAAGGGTTTGAATGCTGCTGAGGTGGGCAGCCTGACGTTGTGCTGTCCTTAAGGGCTTAGAGAGGAAATCAAGATTCAGCTAATGTGGAGTTATTTCTCCAGTTATTTTCATCTTTAATAATCTATCCTCCTCCTCCTCTCCTTTTATCTCTACTGTTGTGTCTCTCAGGAGCAGCATGCGCAGAGTGGCTCAGGTGATGAGTAAAGCTGACGGAAGAAAACACGACAAGTTCTCCAACCAGTTCAACTACGCCTTAAACTGACCTCCGACCTCCGAGCAGCTACATCTGCCTTCAAATGAACCGAGACAGACTTGAATCACACTGACAGAAGCAGAGGTTTTAATTTATTGATGTGCCCGTATGGACTGATGAAGAGACAGAAATGGTGGGAGAGACATATTTCAATCATTGTTTGAACACTCTGAGGCATCTCAGGTGTTATAATGTGATCATTTAGGAGGGTATGAACATGCACTGTTTGGTTGCAATAATATCAACTTTGTACCAGCCAAATTCATTTTGACTGGATTTTTTTATTCCCTTTTTCAGGTTTTTATTCTAATAGCCAAGTTAACTTTAACGTTTGTATTTGTTTATGTTTTGTATGTTTAGTAAATGAACATCACGCATGTTCAAACTATTTGTATCAGAATTAAACTAAGAGACTCTGCCTGCTCTTTCTGTCTTTGTCTGTTTGATGATTTTAATTCAGGCTCAGATCTGCATCCTCACATTAAGTTTGGACAGATGTTTCCCTCATCAGTGATTGCAATAATCTGAGATTGAGCCACAGTATGATCTGTTACCTGCCAACATGTAATCCACAGATTACTTTGAATGATTGAGAGGGAGAATAAAATGCCAAAAAAAAAAACAATGCGCAAACTTGAATAAAAAAATAAAGTAAGTTTAAAGAAGATTCTTTAACCCGTCATGTATCTCCACTTCTGTTCTTTTCCATTACCAAGTCCCACCTACGGTGACTTACTGTAGGCCAGATCACATGTCCATCAGGGCACTTCAGGGCGACGAGTAAGCCGTCTCTTAGTTCAAGTTAAACATTATTTAGCTCTTCATCATTGGACAGTGAGTGCCTGTGTGCGTCCATCAAGATGGAAGAGCTCTTTTTTATTTCATCTGGGTCTATGTGTTACATGTGATTGATATTTATACTAAAGTGATTACCGTATTTTCCGCACTATAAGGCGCACCGGATTATAAAGCGCACCTTCAATGAATGGCCTATTTTAGAACTGTTTTCATATATAGGGCGCACCGGATTATAAGGCGCATAGAATAGAACGTGTTTACAACTGAACAAGGCTGGGAGATATTGTGAATATATAAATATAAATACGTATAAAACGTAACGTATAAAACTACAAAAACAAAAGTACATAAGACGATTTCCCCAAATAATAAATTATTTCTTTGACGTTTCTCTTAACTCTCAAAACGTAGTTTTATACGTAGTGCATTCACAATAACTCAACGTTGTTCAAACGTTAATGTGCTTATTCACAATATCTCCCAGCCTTGTTCAGTTGTAAACACGTAAAAGAAACACAGTCTGATACCGCTAATTCAAACGTTAGTGCATAACTCAACATTGTTCAGTTACGTATAACACGTAAAGCTCACTTTTTCAGTTCATTCCCCGTCCACGAATCCCTTGAATTCTTCTTCTTCAGTGTCCGAAGTCACTGAGCTGAGCGCCGTGTACAACCAGTATGGATCAACCAATTAACCAATTGATCCATATATAAGGCGCTCCGGATTATAAGGCACACTGTCGTTTTTTGAGAAAATTAAAGGCTTTTAAGTGCGCCTTACAGTGCGGAAAATACGGTATGTAAACTACAATGGTGCTGCCCATTGTCTGCTGTATTTCTGTCCTTATAAGGACATGAGGGAAGTCAGACGCTACTCTTAATACTAATATAATGAACTGTGTTATTTGTTATGCTAGTTGTTCTGTGGAGTAAGGTTGCAGTGTGTTTTTTTCCTTTGTCTTTATTTGTTGTTACAGAAAACCACACACACATCCACACATATTTTCTCTCCAAATAACCGATGCTGCACATCGTGTGTGAAGATGATAATAAAAATCTCTGAAGACAAATCCATCTAACGAGCATTTTTACTGATACAAACACACTCCTGCACAGTGTTAAATAATGATTACCAACACACTTACATAATCTCTTCCTTTTTATTTTTTTTAATTCACAGAAAACAATCAGTTTAATAAATGATCTCACACATGCTGTCTACATAGGTCATCCTCTTACTGACAGATCAGTGTTTTCACTTATGATGCTTTGTATTTATTATCAATAAACTCTATTCTCCATAATCCAGAATATATGTCTCTGTTCCTGACTGATGACTCCTCACACACACCAACTTCCTAGTTTGTGTTTTGTCCAACCTCGACGTCCCAGCTGTGAGTCCCTGAGTTGAAGCCCTCAGAGCTCAGGACAGAGCAGCTGTCATCAATTCTCTCTGGATTATCAGGAAGCTGCTGCTCCTCTCCTCGTCTCACTCGGGTCAGATCTTCAGACAGGATGAGGTCTGGACCAGCAGAGTTTGGGTCCAGAATCACAGGACTGTAGGAGACCATGTTCATCATCTTGTTCCAGATGTGGAAGCTCAGGTTGCCCAGGTGTTTGGCCACATCTATCAGAGCTCCTGAGGGCAGCTGTGGATCCTCCAGCAGGGGGCGCTGCTGGACTCTTTCCACTGCAGCCTTGTAGTTTTTCAGGAATGAGACGTCTGCAGCTCTCAGCTTGTCCTCTTTGGCTCTGACTGTTTGTGAAAGAGCTGCTATCTCTGTGCTCAGAACCTCCATCTCCTCCTTCAACCTCTGACTCTTCTGCTTCTCTTCCTCCTTCAGTGCAGAGATTCTGGCCTCCTCTTCCTTATCTAGAAACTGGTGAAGTTTCTTAAACTGTTCCTTTATCTGCCTCTCTGTGTTTGCAGCCTGGACCTTGATGTGTTTTCCTGTTTCATCCCAGACTTTTTTTGATTTTATCATATCCCTCCAGTTTGTCCTTTAAGGGCTTCAGTGATTCCTGGAGCTTGTCCCTGAGATCTTGTGCAGCTTCATCGATGGGTCTGAATGTGTGGTTGGTGTGTTGTTTGGAGTCTCTGCAGACAAGACACGCTGGCTGCTGATGATCCAGACAGAACAGTCTGAGTTTCTCAGAGTGCAGACTGCAGAGATCCTCAGAGTCTGATGAAGCATTGAGATCCAAGAATGTTAGACAGGGTCATATATGTTTATTTATTTTTGAATATGCAGTTCTCTGTGTGTCTTCCCATGTTTTAATCTGGATTATGACTGGATCACAATGGCTAATAGAAGAAGTGATTATCACAGGATGAGGATATCGAGTGGACATGGACTGTGAATAGTTGGAGAAAAGGTGGAGAGAGGAAGGATAGAAGAGGTATTGTGTCAGGAAAAAGATCATGAATGAAGAATTCAAGATAATTCTCAAAGATCCTGATCTTCTCCTCATGTTCACCTTTCATGTTGTCAGTCTGTGAAACCTGAAGCTTAGTTTAGCAGCTCAAAACACACCTTACTGATCTGATACTGTTGTCAGTTAAAACCATTCCAGCTGCTGTCTCTTTAACGCCCCCCCCTCCCCACAGCCCACCTTCTTCTGATTGGCCAGCTCACTGGAAGACTTCAAGGCAGGCAGAACGCTGCAGGGCTGCCAGGGGAGGGCTGCTCTCCAGTGCTGGGAGAAGAGAGTCTATGTAAGAGACTTCAGCGTCTTACGTAGAGGCTTGAAGCTGTTTAGTGAAATTCTTGGTTTCATATCGAGGAACTATGGCATGATTTACAGAACAAGCTGTTTAGCGCCCTCTGTAGACTCATCCTGGGATTACTCCAACAACCGTTTCCCTCATGATCTGAAACTTTAGTTTAGTTCATTTTAACACAATATGGGAGTTTTAAATCAGGGATCAGCAGAAAAGGTAAGCTTTAACTCAGTTGGCTTTGGGCCCTTTCATGAAACAAAACCATCAAAGCTAAGCTGCTTTGATAAAAGGTCACGGCTTGGGTAAATCCAAAAGTCTGTCTGTTGAAGGCATTTATATTAGAAAACAGAACCACCAACTTACAATGTGAGTTTATAATGTCAGACACATTCTGGTTGATCTACAATCAGAACATCTTGATTTGTCATCTAGAGAAATTTTTAATAGTCTGGTTAAAGTGAAAATCTAAGTTTTGCCAGCTGTAAATGTACACGCATCAAAGCCTAACTTCATTAAACATGCAGTATGTCAATTCCGCCACCAGGGGGCTCTCAATGAAAACAATTACAAAAGATGACTTGAAGGCTAGCGGGGAATCATGGGAGTGATTCTCTTTGCTACTCCACCCCCGACTACTGATAAAAAAGAACTCAGAGTCAACCTGTAGTCCAGACGACCGGGCGAAACAGAGAATATGTTTACAGACGAGCTAATGTATCCGATTATAATTGACTTTATGTTTTTATCACAGCAAAAGTTCAGCAGCTTTCAGTCGCTGTTCCTTTATGCAGCTGTCTTTGACGTGACAACTCGTGTTTCCCCGGCAACAACTTTAACATTACAACTCTAAAATGACAGATTTCTCTGGCTTTGATAACTGTACTTTAAAATATGTGAGCTAATGTAAGTACTCAACAAAGACATATATATATATATATATATATATATATATATATATATATATATTCACACACTGTATATATATATATATATATATATATATATGTTTAGTTCATTTTTAATTAATTTAGATGTTTTGGTGTAAATTTCTAATAAAATTCTTAATATTTTATCTTAACTGATGAGCACATACGAATAAAACAAAATCATGTATGTGTGAATATAAAATCAGGTGTGAGCTGTCCTGTGGCTTTAATCTTTAGGTTAAGACAAAGACTAGCTTCATAAACTAATATCAGGGTTACAGTTCTGCTAGTTCATCCAGAAGGTTTGAAGACCACCCCGATGTTAGCCCAGTTACACAACACACACACTAAAGAGGGTTTTCACTCTATGAAAGGACTAAAATACAAAAACATCCCAGTGTCCTGTTGTCCTCTGAAACTATAAAAAGAGTATACAGGGCTTGCTTTTGGTGTTTAAATGTCATAGTTTTAATATCAAAGTACGATTTCATGTTGAGTTGATTGAGTACATCCAAGGATTTGATGGAAACAAACTCAATAAATAACAGAACTGAAAACAATCACAGCTGGAGTTACACGGTACTGACACTAGATCAAGCCATTCCTTATGTCATAAATAAACATCCAATATTCATACAGTCTTTTATTTTAAACAAAGAATTCATCTATTTGTCTATTACGTTTATTTAAAACAGCATTCGGAGCTAGAACGTAGATTTATGTACAGTTTCTGGTAAATATTCACATTCTATCAAAATAATGCATCAAATTAAAGCCTTCAAACGTTTGTAGTAAAAAGAGACGCCATCTGTCTGCTGAGCCGCAGTCCATTCACACACTGTATCTGTGTGTGTGTGTGTGTGTGTGTGTGTGTGTGTGTGTGTGTGTGTGTGTGTGTGTCGGGGTCTACAGGTGTGTGCTGTAGAAGGCTGGCGCGGCGTAGCCCTGCGTCCCCAACATGAATGGGGACAGAACGTGGCTGGCGGTGAGGAATGGCAGCTGGACCAGGCTGCCGGTGGGGGGGTGATGGTGTCCACCGTAGCCTGCGTGCATCGCCAGGTGCCCGCTGATGGGTGGGGAGGGGCTGAGCGGGCTGAGACCCCCCATGCCTCCTCCTGACCCTCCCCCTCCTCCTCCAGCGCCGGTGGGGGCCGAGGTGTCCGCTCCGGGGTTTTGTTTCTTCCACTTAGTGCGGCGGTTCTGGAACCAGATCTTGACCTGCGTCTCGGTGAGGGATAGCGACAGAGCCAGGTTGAGACGCTCGCACACCGACAGGTACCGCGTCGACTTAAACTTGTTCTCTAGCGCCACCAGCTGCTCGTAGGTGAAGGCAGTCCGGGCTCTGCGGGGCTTGCCCGACTTGGAGTCCGAGCCAGAACGCTTCCTCTTGGGCTTGCCCTGTGCACTCTGACCCCCGTTGGTCTGGTTGTTGGAGATCTGGCCTGAGGACCCTCCTCCGGGACTCGCTGTGTCTCTGCCAGGGTCCTGGTTCAGGTCTCTGTCTTCATTAGAGGGCAGAGCAGAGCTGCTCTCCTCGCTGCTGTACGGCCCGTCTGGAGCCTCTGAGTCCGGCGTCCCAGATCTGTGGTAATCTTCCTCGTCAGGACTTCTGTACACGAAGCTTTCCTCTGGAAAACACAAAACAGAGACAATTTTAAAATAAAATATGTCATACTCTCAGATTTAAAGAGCTTTTTAAGATGTTTTAATATTTACACTCTGCAGTTCTCCATTTTCTTTTAGAACCTGCTGACAACTACAAATGCACGCACTCAAAGACCAAACAATATTGGATTCAAAGGTCACACATTCTCCTCCTCTTCAGTGTGAATAAGTGTCAGAGCCCCTCAAAACATGTGTGTGAAGTTTCTTGTTCTAAATCCACTCTGATCCTGTATTTGATCATGTCTATAAACCCCTCTATTTCAGCCCTGCTCAGAACAGGCTGTTTCTGTGTCTGTACCTTTAAATATGTAAATGAGCTGTGTTTGACCACGCCCCCTCTCTGGAAGGGCTTGTGTGTCTCTGGCTTTCTTGCTCCATGTCCTATTGTTTAAGGTGAGAAGGCAGACTCAGAGGGCAGAACAAACACCTAGCTGTGGGAGTGTCACCCACCTGGGGGAGGGGCTACTGCCCTTTGTGATGTCATGAAGGGAAAATCTCCAAACGGCCTGTTTGAGCACACATTTTCTGAAAAGTGGAGCAGGCAGAAGATGGAGAGGATGGACTTTTCTCATCGTAGGGGGGTTTGTAGACAGACTAGAGACACATGTTAGAGTTAGAGGAACATGGAGAAGCTTATTTTGTTTTATGACCTTTAAGAATGGTACTGATTTAAGAGCAAAACTTCTGGATATTGTGGCCAAGTCTATATATGTTCTTAAAGATTTTAGGGTGAGCTGCATGTGTGATTGTAAAAAGAGAGATTTTTCATCATGACATTGCGCAGAGTGCCCATTGCTGGTCATATGGGGTAATTATATAATATCTAAGCATAATACCTAAGCACTGTTTTCTCAGACGGTTCTGTAAACAAAATGTTTCCCCATGGCAAAGGCCTTGTGTTAAACATGGAAGTATACATTGTTAACTCTGCAGAAATCTCCTTAAAGCATAGAGCTCCATTCACCCAGGATACCTGAAAGTATATGTATGCCAGTTGATGCTGTATCATTTCGTTTGTGTTTTACATTTAAACACAAATATAATATGCACCATTCATGCAGAATATCAAAAAAAACCATCTGAACAGTTAAGGGCCTCTCTGTGAGTCCGGGCCTCAGGATGTGTCTTTATTTTGTTTGACTGCAAATTATTTTGAATTGATTTGAAATGTTAATCTTAAAATGTTCAGGGGGGCTCGAGGCTGCAGAAGGATCCCGAGGTTTGCACGACCGCGACGCTCGCTTTTGTGTTTGAGTACAAGACAGCGACTTAAAGGACGACGCTGAACTCACAGAATGTGGTGATTAAAAACAGACTTCAAAAGACGCTTAAACAACACAAAATGATTATTAACTTCAAAATAATTAACTTCAACATAATTAAAAATTAAAAACATTTGCCTGCTTATTTTCCAAATGAACCATTGTTGAATTAAAAATATTAAAATGTGTCTGACACTCAGACAAAGTTTTCAGTGAGAATATCTTTGAGTTTTTATGTTTGAAGATTCTCTGATCAAAAGTAAAACATAGATAATAATAATTATTATAACAAAAGGCTGTTTGACTGAATCTTTGGATCTTTCCATCATTGTATTTATTCTACTTTAATCAAATAAATAATTCTTGTTTTTTTTGTCACGATTTATCATCCACCAGATTTTGCTGAGCACAGGGACATTTCATTTCTTCAGTATTTCAATAATTATCATTTTTACACCACTGCAGTATAATAATAATAATAATAATCATAATAAAATATTAACTATAATACAGTTGAATTGTATAATAATTTGGTGTAGCATTTGCAACGTTTTATCCGTACCACACATCGACACTCTGATCGTTTTAGGTGAATTTGTCGTTTAAGATTAAGCCAAACAAATGATTAAATTAACAAACAAATTAATTAATTTAACAGACGATGAAAGATTCATTGACAGAAGATTCACTTCAGGGCGACTGAGGCCGTTTTGTTTCTCACAATGCAGAAAAATGAATAAAAAGTGAATTTAAATCCTTCTGAAAATATAACATGACAAATGTCTAATAATGAAAGCATGGTTCTTGATGTGTTTGTTAAAAGTCATTTTGATCATCAAACCTGCAGATTCACAGTGAGCATGACGTTTAAAATATAACTTTATCTAATTAAAACTTTGAGCTTTGATCAGCCTGCAGAATTAAATAATAACAAAGAAAAAGGTTCAACTTGAAATAAAAAGAAATCTGATGAACACGTTATTATTTCTAAGAGGTTTGTTGAGAATGAATATTTATGAAATTGCCAAGAATAATAAAGAATGTTGTAATTAAAGTCAGGGCTGATATTAAGTTTTGTTGTTGTTTTATACAATGACAATAAAGCTTCTATCTATCTAATAAAAATGTAAATCATATCATTTTTGATCATCATCGTTCCTCACTTTTGTTCGACTCACAGAAAAAAGAAATGTCATAAAATAAAGTTATTTATCAGTTTTATTAATTTATTAATAATTAACAATAATTACTTCATTTATAGATTTAAGTGACAACATTTCAAACTGAATGACCCACATATTTAATATATTTTATTATGTTTACAATGAGCATTTTAATTTCCAGCTTAATGTCCCTTTAGTTCAAATGTTTTAGTGTAATGGTCTCACATTTAAGTTCTCCTGTTTATCATGTGAAATGTTAAACATTCATCTTATTTATCTTTTTCTTTTGGTTAAATCATTAAATGTTGAAGACTGAATTTCAGTTTTGTTATGAGGAAACAAGGTGGCTTTAAATGGTAATGGTTTTTCAATGTTCTATTCAGAGTTTTATGAGTTAGCGACCAAACGCGAAGAGTGGAAGATTTGATTATTAGAAAAGAAGGGAGGAACAAAAAAGAGGTATTTCAACACAAAAGAAAAATTGAAAACAAAATGATGACGAAAGGAAAAGAAAAAGAGAATCTCATGAAACATAGGAAAAGAGTTCATTTATTATTAAATATGTTTAAATGGAGGCTCAATCTCGAGCGAGCTCGCGCACGCACACACACACACACACACACACACACACACAGACACGCACACGCACACGCACACACACACACACACGCACGCACGCACACACACACACACACACACACACACACACACACACACACACACACACACACACACACACACACACACACCTGCACGCATTTTTTTCTAATTAGCGTCAATTATAGGAAAAGCGGCAGCTTTTTAACTTTATAACGATATCGGATGATTACAAATGAGCCTGATTAAAATCTCAGAATGACGTCATAAACGCCATTTATCCAAATGAAAGAGACGCGTTTCTTTTACACATCACATATTCTCACTTGAATTCGCTCTTAAATAAAACGTTTAGTTTTTCTGACACGAGTGATTTAGGATTCAGATAAATGTTACCATATCCTAAATAGACACATGGACACAGAGATAAGATAGCAAACTGATAATTCAGCTGATAACCACGGAGAACAGAAGAGAAATATTTTAAATCAACAAGAAAATGAAACAAACTTGAATCACAGGTCGAAAAAGAAATCGTCTTTTAAGTCGTAAAAGAAGACAAAAAAATAAGCTCTAAAAATCCACATTTTCTCTTAATGTGGTGCTGAAGGACAAACAAATAAATATCCTCTAAATGATGTCCTTAAACCAAAACAACAGAATAAGATTTAGTGAAACCAAATGAAAAGGCTCAATCACAGTAAATGTAATGTAATAAATGTATTTATCACAGTAAATGTAATGTAATAAATGTAATTATCACAGTAAATGTAATGTAATAAATGTAATAAATGTATTTATCACAGTAAATGTAATGTAATAAATGTAATAAATGTAATAAATGTGTTTATCACAGTAAATGTAATGTAATAAATGTAATAAATGTAATAAATGTATTTATTACAGTAAATGTAATGTAATAAATGTAATAAATGTATTTATCACAGTAAATGTAATGTGACACATTTGGACAGAATGCAGAGAACACGACAAACACACGAGCTTTAAAAGTGAACTGGGTTTGAACTGGGACTTACTGCTGGGGTAGTCCTCAGCTCCGTAGCACCCTTTGCTGGGCTCCAGGCCGGGCTCGCGCTCCCCGGTCCCTCCGCACGCGCTGAGCTCGCGCTCTCCTCGGCTGCTCGCGTGCTGCTGGAGCCGCCGGTTGCTCGTGAACTTGTTGGGGTCCAGGATGTCCAGCACGGAGAAGGAGGTGGTCCGGTGCCCGGTGGGGCCCTGAGAAACGACGCATCGGAATTATTCAAGTGCAGTCGGACTATTTGATGCTTTATTATAAATATTATTTTATCTATTTTTCAGAATAAAAAGATGATTACATTTTGTGTTTTTCACTTTTTTAAGTTCAGAAAATTCGTGTTTTTTTTTCTTAACACCTTCCAATAGCCATCGAGAAGTTGTGTTTATTAAAGGCCTGTAGTCTAATGATTTATTATAAATATAACATGTTTTATTTAATGTAGGCTACAACAGTGCTGGTAATATTGAATCCGCGTCATATCCTTGATTAAATGAAAGAAGTAAAGCTGATGAGCTGAGCAGGCAGCACATCACAGCCTGTAAAACCACATGTAAAGTGTGTTTAGAAAGCAAACTGCCACAACATGAACACAAATCAACGAGATTCCCTGAATCCAATATGTAGCGGTCAATAGGCTATCAGCGGGAGAACCAATCAATCCCCTTTATATGTATAGAGATCACGTGTCGAAAGGGGCATAGAAAAAAAAAATAAAGGAAGAAAACTTTTTATTTTAGTGTCATATTAAATATATTAATCCACATATTGGTATTTCATCAAGACATTCAGTTATAATGTCCGTAAATGCGCATTTCCGCTAGACCCTGGTTGTACACACTTTAGTCTATATTACCGATGTGAACTTTAAATGTGCAGCCTATGACTTGTATTATTATTATAAGATTTATGAAGATGTGCAAAGGCTGTTCGTAAGAAACAGATAAAGGTGTAGCAGGAAATTCAGGCTTCACCTGCTGCACTACATCCTGATTAGGATCGTTCATTTATTAATGAGGCCAGTCTGCAGCATGTCCACATGAATAATCCCACATTCAGAAGATTTTAATTCTCCCTTTAAATAATCTGTGGGAGCACGCGGCCAGCACCCAGGGGTCTATTAACATCATGATGATAAGGAAATAATCACACAATACTGCAGGATCAGAGCTGAGATGACGAGGGATAATCTTATATTTAAGAAGACCTTTTTATAAACCCGGGTCATACTTTTACATTTCTTCAATATATATTAAATAAATTCTTAATAAATTAAAAAAGAAATATTTTCTATAATTTTCTTACGGACATACACATTTAATTTGTTAATTCTGAAATTGTAAAATGTTCAAGTTTTCTTTTCTTTTTTAAATCAATTCAAGCGCGAGGAAACACTTCGGATTCATTTTCGTCTGAGCGTTCATTTAAATTCATTCGATGATATTTATTATTGTTTAATTGTTTCCCAACGCATTACTGCAGCAAATTGGCTGTTCATTTTACTGCTACATCTTAATTAAGGCCTCATGTGGCTGTACAACATGTCAACACATAAAGACCACCGGAACAAATCGAAATAACATCTAACTGTTATTAGAAACATATAAACTGACACATAAAATGTGCCCTTCTTGTGTATTCATATTTTGTGTTCAGTTTCTGGTGTTGGTCATATTTACGCACTTTGCTTTTAACTTTTTTTCTACATTTGATCACAAGTCAGTCCTGCAACATTTATTTTTGACCAGTATTTCCCGTATGTCCTGGCTCTGTTTCACACTCTGCTGTCACACCTCCACACAAACCAACATGAAGTTCATCGAGCCTACCTGCTGTGGCGGCGCTAAAACCGGGTTCGTCGGCGGAGGCTCCGAGTGGTTCTCCCCGGCCTGAGCATCTCGTCCTCCCGTCAAAGCGTTGGAGAAGAGCCGCTTCTCCCCGGCTGCTCCACCGTCCAGGATGTCCTGGCTGTCCGGGCCCACCACCGTCTGGAGCCCCTCTCCCGGAGCCGGCGCCACTCTGTCCCGGCTCATCACGGGATGGACCGCGTCCGTAACAACGGGCCCTGCTACGGCTCTGTCCCGGCTAATAACAGTCTGGACCCCGTCTGCTCCGTGCCCCGGTACCGCTCTGTCCCGGTTCATCCCTTTCCCATAGGCTGAATTAAGAATCCGGGTTTTTATTAAAAACGGTAGCTGTGAAAACTCAATTCAGACTGTTTTTAAAGAGTTTAATGCTTTGAAACATCCAGTGTGAGGAGATGTCTTCAGCCCGTTAAAGTTTCCACACGTTAAATTTCTGACCGGATGAGATTGGATTTCCGGTCCCGGATCAAAGTTAAACTTCTTTTTGCGCTTTCCTCTCCGGATCCTTTCCCGGCATCCTCCGCATCCACCGCGGCGGCAACACGATGTCTCCGTTGATCTAACGTGTGTGTGTCTCGTACGGCGCCGTTATCCCGTGTTGGCACGCACACATCAACCTGCAGCCTCGCGCGCTCTGTCTGGTCACCGGTCTGCGCGCGCTCTGGAAAGCCTGTCAGGAGTTGAAGGCGGGACGCACGCGGATCTATCTCTCCCTCTCTCCTCATTAGTTAAGTGAACCCACCTCTCTCTCTCTCTCTCTCTCTCTCTCTCTCTCTCTCTCTCAGCTCGTGCCGCTTTCAACACCTTTTTTGGTTTTTATCCGCCCTCCGCACGTGCTCACATTTGTCCTTGTGTGTGTGTTGTTGAGTGTGTGTGTGTGTGTGTGTGTGTGTGTGTGTGTGCCCTTTCCCTCCTTATTTATGCATTCCTATTCAACTCTTGCGGTTGTAATTGGCTACAAATTAATCCCACTTCTCCTAATAGTCAATTACCTCTTGATGCCCGCGCGGTGCTGTCCCAGCACGAGCAGAAACAGAGACTTAGAGCGCGCCTTCTCTTCTCACGTCATAGTCCACTATCAGGCTCACAAACATACTCACGTTCGTTTGTTTAGTAGTAAATGTTTCCATTTTGGCAGGTTGACAAACAGTCAGAGCGGGAAGCGCTGTCCTCTAGTGACAGGATCATTTCAGTTATTAGTATGTTTCTCAATATAACAATGAACGTCTCTTTTAAACTCACAAACGTAGTCTTTAATTACACAATTACACTATTTTAAATGATATTTCAGTATAAAACTATAAATAAAAATTAACATTTCTGTTATGATTGATCTGGATTTTTTTTTTTTTTTTTACTTTAACCTTCAAATGAAAGCTTCTTCAACTTTAAACATTACAAATGGAAGGTTAAAAATGTGGAAACAGGATTTCAAGAATAATCCTATTGGTCTTAAAAAATAAGGATTTTTGTGCATTTGATGTTAGCCTATCGGCACCCTTTGCCTTTTGACTCTGAAACATTAGGCCAAATTCTACAGTAAGTCGGGGCCTTTAGGCAACCATTCACAGGGGCCCCTTACGCTTCATAACCATTATGTTTAAACATGTTGGACTCTTTACCTGCACAGCTCAAACCTGAACCAGACTGGAGTCATTTTAAAGTGAAACAGTTCTTAAAGAAGTCATGTTAATGTATAATCTTCTTCTTCCTGTCCACTGTCTCGACTGTGACTCACACCAGGCTGCTAACTTAAATAATCTTAATATTTAGTGAATAAACACCATCAATGTTATGCAAGCAAAGGAACTGTTTTTATATAGCTCTACCTCATAGTTAAGGCTAGACTATCAGGGGTCATACTGTTATAATTAATCAACATTATATGCTCCACTTAACAATGTCTAGCTTCCTTATTCCTCTCTCTTTTCACTGATTTTCACTTTTTCAAATGGGGCTCCTTTAGGGAGGTTTCCTACTGTCATTGCAAAATGTGCACATTTTGAGCCCCTGCTGTGGTTTAAAGTTTGTCAGCCCTTGTGGCCCCTAAGTGGCCTGAAGGGGCCTGATGCCTTTATGAAGCAGATTATAGGCCACAGAAACAACAGTCTCTTATAAGTTATCATATTTGGGGGAAGCTCTTCTTTAGTTACAGTGAAAATGAACTGACAGTAGCTACTTTCATTACACAAAAACAGAATGCTATCATCTTTGTAAGCTAGCTGGTTAACAACAGTGTGTTGGACGGCTGTGGCTCAGTGGTAGAGTTCGTTCCCCAGCTCCTGTAGCCACTTGTCTGATGTGTCAGACACTTCACCTGAAGTTACTCCGGCTGCTTTGTCGGTGGCTTGTGCATGTGTATGAATGGATCAGTTAATATTGATTACAGGATGCTCATTTCTTAACATCTCAACTAAAGTGAAATGTTAATAGTTTGGAAATGTAGCAAGGGGCCAAGTATAACAAGAATGAAAGCAAATAGTTGTACAACAGAGACAGAGCTGAATGAGCATGCTCAGCTGAAGATGAATTTCATTACATAAATAAAAGTAAAAGTAAATACTTCACCTGACCTGTAGTTTACAATGGCAGAAAGTTTTGTCCTGGATTATCAACATGTGTATGATTTGTCATCATCACTGTATAGCCAAAAACACGTCTGTCAAAACATCTGAGGTGGATAACTAAAAAGTCAACGTTGAAACCTGCAAAAACATAATTTGAAACAAGCTTTGTGATTGGGTTCAACAGGTGACCCTGTGACCTGTCAATGAAAACTGAGGAAAGACTGATTTGTGAGGACTCTTTCAGTTTCCATAGCTACTGTAACTATGACATCTACAGACACACTCACAAGTGTTCAAAAACCAGGACCGTTACTTCTGTACACCGAGTAATATGTTGGAGAGAGGGAGTGCAGACGGTGTGTTTGTTCACTGGTCACCTAACCCTCTGAACTGATCTGATCTTATTATTGATGTTAATATTACGTTATTATCTTGAGTGCCACCATGTCTTACATCCTGCACGTCAGGTAGCTGCATTTGTCCTGAGCTCTCTGGTGTGCCCTCTAGAGGTACCCTCCAGTAACACGTTCATGATGAAGCTGGTCTTTGTGTAGGAGAACACAAGTTCAATGGAGAACAAACCATAAGACGTATTTTTGTAGGCCAACCCAGAAGTATCATCACCATGGAGTCTAACTAGAATTCTCCTATGGGATTTTTTCATTGGATTTTGGAAAATAAGCTCTGTGGCAAACGCACGTTTCTGAAGCGTAGGCGTTTTGTTCAGCAGGATAATCTTCACAGATGAACACCATTTTTATGATGTTTGAAGAGTTAATGCAGCCGACAGAAGTAAAAAGCTAATGTTATGCTACAAACTAACTACACCACGGTCGGATGATTGTGACGTCACTAGCGTTGTGCTTCAGACGATCTCTGATAAACTAATCCACGTAGTTTAAGAAATAGTTTACTAACATAATATTCACCTTAACCTAAAGATTAAACCTACAGGAGACATCTCCGACTAGTGAGAGAGTTCCCGCCCTCTGTGTCCGGCCTGATGACGTTTAATGTCCCCGACAACCACTGTAGTCACATTTAGCCACTTGTTAGCAACCGCCTTTTTAAAGACGAGTAAAAACTTCAAACTTCACAAGTGAGGGTATTACCTAACGTAGTTTATGTGGTCTAACAAAACACCAACATCTCTTCAGCTTGTGTTAACCACAGACCTTATTTCAGGAGTCTAACCACAAACACATTCAAAATCCACATTGACTTTTAGACGTTAGACCCCATGGCGCTAACATGCTAACTTACTTCCTGGTTTCAGGACTCGTTCCTGTGGCGCTCTATTAGCAACTTCATCCCCTGCCTTTTGTAGTGATCCAGTTGATAATAATGTGTGGTAAGTTTTGACAGCGTGTTGGCTCAGTTTCTATCAAACAGAAGAATTCACATCAGATCCTTTTTCTTCTTTTACAAAGGAGCAAAATGTTAGATAATCTGTATGTAAGCGGGGGGAATATGAGCCTGTATGCAGCAGATGAAGGTGGTTAACGACAGTCAGTTATAAGTTATGAGAGATAGAATTAGTGTTAAGTAGAGTGTAGCAGAGTTACAGTGTGTAGCAAGGTTAACTGGTGCGCACTGTAATTGATGTGTAGCTGATGTGTAATGTGTCGCCTCGCTCCGGCTTCACTTGTGCATCCTCATGAAAGGAGCCCTTATCTTTAATGCAGATTCCAGGGCAGGGCCTCTCCTCAAAACTCAATTACGGCCTGAATAAAGCCCGTAATGTCCCCGCTGCAGTGAAATATTGATTCCTAATCCTTGGCAGTCATTACTATGCCAGAAAATAATAGACCACAGAATTGGATTTTGATTTAACACACGACGTGTTTATTCAAATGCTGGGGACTTAATATTCCGTCGACTCTCGTTTTCAGTCACGGAGAAGGAAAGAGGAATAGTGATGAAGGCTCTGATGCCACACTTTTTATATTGTTGTGGTAGAAATAAAAAAAAGAGAGCGAGAGAGAGAGAGAGAGAGAGAGAGAGAGAGAGAGAGAGAGGGAGAGGTGATGGGACATCTCTCCTGTCCTCCTCCCCGGCCCCCTAATACACAAGGTCAGCTCCATGTAATTGCCTTGCTCAATGATCCTTAGGAGGAAGAAATTAAAAGTTGAGCAAAATAATGGCTGAAACAATGAGACATGATTAGCCAATCAGAGAGCTGAACCCATTACTGGAGCCTTTTGATCTACTTCCTGCTTCCGCCGGGAGGCTTTATGGCTTTATTTAAAAACAGTCAATATATTAACTATATTAAACATCATAGGAGCTTAGTCACCTTGGAAAATATTAGCATTTTAACCACGGCAGAGGAGAACTATAAAGCACTGACACCGCTACAAGAAGAAGAGGGCTGAAACTCAGCCGTGTGAATAAAGAGTATAAACTATCACCATGATTTAGATTTTTGTGTTTTCTGCAAATGAAGTCAAAGATGTGGCCTCCTCTAAGTAAATCCCATTTTAACCATGTCAAATTAAAAATATAACTCTTCCTTCAGAGGATGGACTTTAAGCTCTTTATCACTTTCTCTAAAAAAGCATGTTTAATTTTGTCTTTTATTTTTGTAATGTTTAGACCAACCAGCCGGTCTTTTGAGAGCCAAAGAAATGAAACTGTAGAGTCAGTGAATTAAAATGTAAATATATTTTACTTTTATCTCCCAAAATGTAGAAGCTACAGTGATATAACATT